GTAGCAGTGTTGGGAGCTTTTTGAGTCACGGGGGTGGATCCCTCACGAATGGATAATGCTCTCTCTGCGGGGCGGGGGATTAATGAGTGAGTTCTTGCTCTATTAGTTCCCGTGAGAACTGGTTGTTTAAAAGACCCTGGCACCTCCTCTCTCTCTCTTGCTTCCTCTCACCATGTGATCTGCTTATACCCGCCAGCTGCCTGCCACTTTCTGCCATGAGTAGAAGCAGCCTGAGGCCCATGCCAGATGCAGCTGTCCCAGAATCATAAGCCAAATAAACCTCTGTTCTTTATAAATTACCCAGTCTCAGGTGTTTCTGTAATAGCAATTCAAAGTGGACTAACACACACACACACACAAAGTGATCCCTAGAGTAATGTCCCTCTAACCTATTTGCATCATATGCTTTCTGGAGTGGGACAAAGGGGCTGGAGTGACAACTTGAGCCCTGAGATCTGTACAGAGCCCCTGCCCTGTCCCCACCTCCATGAGTACCTGTTGGACGTGACCACATCATCTCACGTGGGGCAGTGGGAGAGGCTTGAGAGCCGTGCGAGGGAGTATCCAGTCAATGTGTAACGAAGTAATTAATGAACAGTGGGCAAATCTTGTGTTCCTTTGGGTTGGTGATCTTACAAGGAAACAGCCTGAACGAAAAGGAATGTGTTTGGGCCTGTGTGAAATTATCAACAAAATGTTGCTGTTGCTCAAAATTCTGTGAACTATTTTAAGTGTTACCTTATTTTGCAGCTTAGTCGAACACAATATAACAATACAAGCATTAACTAAGAACATTAGTGCCTTTACTGTTGAGATTAAAAGGGGTTCCATCACAAGGATCCTGAGATGGTGCCATGTGAGTAAATGCCAGCCACATATGCATCCCTTTCTCCTGGAAACCTCCCTTGTGTTTGGAGACAAAGAAACTGAAGTGTCTGGACACTGACTCTCGCCACTGCTGACGTGCTCAGGACTTGCCACCACACCACGGCGAGCAAGCGTCAGCATGCTGCATCGGCCATGGGAACGGTTGAAGTGCAGAGCAGTGTGACAGCCTTGAGGGAGCCACCAGGGGAGGCTGTGGAGTGAGTGCCAGCTGTTGGTCTGGGATGGGCGCCATCCAGCCTTTCTAGAACTCGGGTCACTCCTCCAGGTCTGGGTTTCCTGCTAGCGGCACTGGGCACAGGACTGGAATAAAAGCTTTCTGGACCGTTGCCCTTGACCTGTCCCACCGAAGCATCTCGTTATAATGTCTCCTATGTGCTGTGTGGGAGAAAGGTCTGAAAACTGAGTTTCCTATAAAAGTGAATAAATTGGTCAGGGAGCAATTGTTAGTGAATAGTTACATTAATTAGCATGCAGTTATCAAAATAGTAATGGTGCCAATGGTTTTTATTTGTCAGCTGCACCTCAGTAAAGCTGGAAAAAATGGTGCAGTGAGGGAGGCACTTAGGTGTGTACTCCATGAAGAAGAGAGGACAGAGCAGGGGAGGCGCTGCGTGCAGCTGTGTGAGGAACAGCGCCGGGAAAGCACGTGGACAACGAAGCCGGTGCAGGTGTTAGGGAGCCGGGAGTCGACACCATTCCCTGTCACTTGGGATTTTCTGTTTTGCTGCTGTATTATTCCTGTAGGAAACAAAACCAGGCAGGGAGGGCCTCGACGCCTCTTTCATGTGTGGTCGCACGTCCTCCTGCTCCACGTTCTGTTCTCAGGCTCTGGGACCTCCGGGCAGGACCCTTTTTTTCACCCTAGCAGGCAAAATGTGTAGGAAGCAGTTGTGCCACGTTTCGAACGGCCGGCCCGGGGACGGGGCGGTGGCGACAGCGCCGGCTGACAGCGGCCGGAGGCGGCGGGCGGGACGGAGGGAGGCCGCGGTGCTTGTGGGCTGAGCCCGTCCCTCCAGCGGCAGAGCCAGGCCGGCCGCGGATCTCACGAGTGAGCCGGCCGCGTGCGTGCAGCACCGAGGCCCTGGTCGTTACGAAGACCCGTCCCAG